CCCCAAAACCCCAAAACCCCAAAACCCCAAAACCCCTGATATCTCTATATTAATTGAAAACTCGAATTTTGACAAAAATTTGGTTATTTTTACAGGTTTTGGGGCTCTAGTTTGGTACCAAACTTGTTCATTCCTCACCATCTCTCGAAGGTAGGTGTACAACTATCTGTAGTTTGATAGAAACGAGGCGAGAGTGTTTCACTGATATCTCATGAACTTAAATTTGGACTTTTCGGTGAAGGAATTCTATGTCTAAAGACTATACTCCTAGAGCCGGTAGTAGTCTGTTGATCATTAAGAGATCCAAAAATCTTCTTTGAGACAGAGCTCAGCTTCCCTAATAATTTCTTAGGTTTAGGTCTAACCTGAAGATGCTATACGATCACTTTCACTCAATTTACCAAAGGATTAGTTGTGAAGAAGTCTTTGAGATCTTCTGTGTTAATAGACTTATCTACGCTCTGAGCTGTAATGAGCCCATCATCAAGCCTGATCTCTTCCATTGCATATTTCATTTTCTGGTTGCTGCTATAAGTCTGGATTCTCATCGGCGGATTATTTTAATGTTGATTTAGTCACCTATTCTTGGTTAAGCACAATTTTTTAACACTTTATTTTTTTTGCAACAGGTCTAGTATGAAACCGTATTTTTAAATCAGGATAGAAGACTGCTGGGCAAAATAAAGAGGAATAAAGCATTACTAGGACCTTCCTGCTTGCTTTCCTGGCTTCTTCTGAATTATTCCTCTTAAAACGATTCAAAATCCCTCTTAAGTGCCTTGGATTTGAACGGTAAAATGTTTTGTTCCTCCTATATCATTTTGAGAAATTTTAGGAAATGAAGTGCTTGACAGAAACAAAGAGGGTCTTTGTAGTAATTTATAATCTTAGTAGAAATTATTGGGATTATTTTTTTCACTAGATGGTTTTAAATATAAATATTGTTCTATGAATCAAATCACTAAAAATTGATATGTCCAAATCCACTATCACCACCCATCACTCCCTAAATTTCCCCAAAATCCCTCTAAATTCCCCCAATCCCAACCCTAAACCCCCTCACAACCCCTTAAAACCCCTTCTTACCCCACCAACACCCTCTCTTTCTCTTCTGCCACCTTCTCATTTCTTCCTTCAACTCTTAAAAAATCTCCTACACAAGAAAAAGTTACTTTTTAACTAAAAAATTCAAAAATGTGATCATAATTAGCTCTGAAGAATAGGTTGTCTGAAATTAGTGCCACTGGGAAGCAGGAGTGGGTTTAGGAGGAGGAGATGGGCCAGTGGCTGGAGAGATAGGTATATTTCCTCTAAGTACCATTCAGACTTGTCTCACCTATATTCTCCCTTATGCTTGCTTCCCTGCTACCTCTCCTTAAAGACCTTCGAACTATTGTTTTCAGTCCTCTCTAGCTGAATAAGCTCAGGACTTTCACAGGAGCTGAAAGGGCCGAAGTAAAAGGCCGATATGCAGCTCAGACTCCATGACTAAGAATTTGGGAATAAATTAGGTTTTGGGCAGGACCGAAGATTAGGAGGGTCAATAAGCGAATTATTTGGAGTGGGATCGAGGGAGGGCTGGAAAAGGTGAATTTTAGAGAGTTTACGGCACGGTAGGTAAAGAGAGAGGTATGTAGGAGGGGTTTAAGAGAATGGCATTTTGATGGTACTCTTCTTCAAAATCTCAACTAACTTACCTTCATGACTCTTATCAAACTTTGGTTCTCTCTTCAACCCGATTGTCTTCCTTAACTTAGGCTTCTCCTTCACCAAGCCATGCCCCTTCCACTTCTCCATAGCTTTCTTAAAATATTGCGCTTTGTGAAAATAGATTCTAAACCATCTCGTTACCAGAAATTACTGTTTGCCCGGTGAAATTTTATGAATCTGATAAGTAACAAAGTTACTTTTCTTGGTTAAACTTTGCATATTCTGAATGTTATCGATCACTATTGCACCATTAGCGACAAGCCACGTACGTACTTCTATCAATAATCTAGGGGTTAAACTAATTTTACCTTGTTTCGGTGCCCATTCCTGGTACGAAGGAATCTCTACAGGTTAAACTTTGCTTACATTTTTTGTCTAAGCAATATACCTTGCAGTTTCTTCGTGGAGAATGTGACTCAAATGACCGCGCAAGGTCAACCACAGGGATAGGGACATCTACACGAGAGTCTTTCTTCTAAAGATGATTTCGTTGAGAAGAGGGAATAACTTACAAATTTCATCAAAATATTGCACTTATTTCTTCTATAGAGTTACAAAAGGAAGCAATACTTAGTCATTTTAGATGTAAGGTTAGTCTGTACCTTAGGCTTTTGTTCGCTTAATACTGATTTGTTCACGCTCACTTTGATATCTTGCATATCTATCGAGACTTGTTAGAGGAATAGCTAATGGGCTTACACATACTTAAGACTTTAATAAGGTCACTGTTCATTTTATCCAATTTTCAATTTTATCTTTAAATTACGGGGTTTTGGGGTTTTGGGGTTTTGGGGTTTTGGGG